CTGTGGAAGGTGAAAAGAGCAGTCAGATACAGGGAAGACACCACGATATTGAAATCTTAAGTTTGTAGTTAACAGTGCTCAAATAAAAGCACCGACAAAAATGTGCATCAGCTCCAGAGAATGGGGAGAGCCTGGGACTCTGCTGACCCTCCCCAAGCAGGCTGGAAAGAAAGCTGTTTTCTGCACTGGTATAAAGTCACTGCTGGAATTGCAAAGCGCTGGTATAAAAGCAGCAGGAGACTATTTCAAATGCCTTGCAGTTTTAATGAACTAAGCCTCATAACATCCTTGAAAGCTAGGCAAGCTGGATTCTCAGCTCGAAAAAGGGAAAGCACAGACATCTTAACTTGCAGCTTGAAAAGGAATGATCTGAAAATGGCCACAAGTTGCTAAGTCTCTGCTTCCACCAGATTCCTATGAATCACGTCAACTGGAAATGACTTGGTTCGTTTTGCAGAGCTCTGGGGAGGACGGGGGTGTTTTATTCAAGTTTGGATATTGTCTGTACACCAAACTAAGGGAGAACTGAAGTTTGTTCTCCTGTATTCTCCAGCTATGACTGCAAAGGAGTCAACAGGTGTAAGGGAATATGCTCTGAGTGGTGTGAGATGTTCTGGCAATGGTGTGAGAACCTGCAAGAAGGATGCAGCAGAGCACAGCCAGTGCAGCTGACCTTTTCTGTAGCCAGTGGCAGGTAAGGAAGACAGCATGGATGTCCTGTGATCTTTGGTTCTTTGGTCCAAATAACCAGGCAATTTCAGTGGGAGTGAGGGAACTTTAGAGCCAAGTCTAAGTCTCGAAAACATGTCTGAATCCATAATGAGAGGTCTTTGCTGCTCTGCATCAGACCTTCAGACTCACAGGTTCTTCACACCTCTGGCTTTGGTGTGTGAGTGGGTGTTCCTCAGAAAGAAGTCTGAGAAAGTGTAAGGTCCCATTTCAAGTAGCTTGCCTAAAATTCATATCCGAGCAATTAGAACCCAATTGCTCCTGACTATTCCCTGCTCTCGCCACAGTGCTGGTCAAAGGGACCAGCTGTAGTGCTTACAGCTATTCTGTTGGGATAGGGCTTTCAGGAGGAGAGTGGAAACATCAGCAAGAGAGAGAGTTTGTATCTATCCAAGGGTGGCTTACAGGGCTAACTCTTCAGAAATTGGACTCAGACAGGAAAGATCTCTAGTATTAATTTCACTGTCTTTAATCAGCCACCTGATTAAAGGTGGTAAACAGAAGATGCATAAACTTTGATCCTTTAAAAGGGATGTCTACCTGGTGGTTTCCAGGGACCTTTAAGTTTCCCATTGTGATTTTCTGTGTCATTTCCGTTCTTCTGGACATGCTTACTCCTCTGCACTTGCGTATTATTTTTGTTACTAGTTGAGGTCTGAGCTTCAAGGCGCACAGAAGGTGGTGTCTCGGAAATGACTGCCCTAGCTGGTGCACCCTGGGGTGCCCTCTTCTCAGAGATCGCACTTCCACCACTCATGTTACACAGCACATGCCGTGGCAGCTTCTCGGTGTGGGTTACCCACTCCTTTATGCAGTCGAGAACAATGGGGATGAGGCTCACCACACCTCCGTAACGGTTCTTTGCTTCATCACAGCTCAGGTGATTCACAACATCATGGGGGTATCTGTGGGACAGAAGAAAACAATTGGCGGATCCGTCCCAGCAATGCCACCCCAGTGAGCCCCCAGTGCCACCCTGAGACCCCCTGGGCAGAGCAGACGTGCGCAGACAGCCGTTTCCCCAAAACAAAAAGGTGCAGATAGAATTGCATCTTGAGAAACGAGTCCTGCCAGACACACCACCCTGGCTGTTGGCCTAGACCTGGGAGAGTTCAAGAGCCACGTACAGACACTTGCCCCACACAAATTAGCTGAGCAGGAACAGGTCAAAGGAGGAGGTGAACTGCCTGAGCATTGCACAGGACTTCAGGGTACTGACGTGCCTGTGCGCGCCCTTCCGTGCACCAGTAAAAACAAAGAATAAACAAACAAAAGCCCTTTTCGTGAATGCAGGCTGGCAATGTTTTCCAACAGCTGGAACAGTAAGCTGGGCAGCACCTTGTACCCTCGCTAAAGACAAAAAGATGTTGTAACAGAATTGATGGAGAAGTCAAGTGACAATATGCATTCTGGTGACAGTCCCCTGGCACTGACAATCGCCTCGAAGCAACTAAGCTGATGGAGAGACCTACTTGGCTCGGATGGTGCTCAGATCGTTGCTGTGGTTCAGGAGCAGCTTGCACCTCTCCAAAATGCCATTGGTTGTGTCGTTACCAGAATGCAGAGTTTCCAGCTTGTAGCAGAGCTTGCTTAGGTCATTGCAGATGTTTAGGAACAGGTTGAGGATGCGTTTGTCTGTGGAATTGTTACAGTGACGGTCTAGATAGGACTGTACCTGCAGAGTGCAACATGGGGAAAGAGAGAGTCATGCATGTTAAGTGACATTGAACTTGTGCTGCAAAGTTACACAGGCTGCTGACGGGAAGCTGCTTTCTCTTGTGACTCTGCAGGCGCGAGCCACTATGGAAACTGCAATGTAGCAGCAGGTAGTAAGATTTCTAGAGCACGCCCGAGATGTTTGCTTGTCATTCATCATGACTGCCGAAGGCTGGGGTGATGGATCTGCTCGTCAGCACGCCAGAGAGCCTTCCTCCCTCTTTGAAGAAGCATAGGAGTAACACAGTCAAAGCCACAGCTCTGCCACAAGCATGGCAGAAACAGGTGGAGCGTGAGCAGAGTTTTCTGTCTGCTCTGAGCAGGGCACCCTCTGCCATGGCTGCCTAGGCAGAGCAGGGTGGGAAAGGAGGCCAGCGACCAACTGGGACTAGTTTGGAGCGATGTGTGTGTCATACGTTCTTCGTTGTTCTGTATTTGGCACCACTAGATGTGACTGCAAACTGAACCCTTTTAACCCAAATTGTCCTTACTAACCTGTTACAGCATTGATGCTCCCTATTTGCCTTGAGTATTTTTGTTACTCAGAGTGAATGGCATTGCATGACAAAACGTTGTGCCAAGAGATTAAGTATCTTCTCCAAAGAAATTACAGGCACTTCAGATATGAGTGGTCAGAATATAAAATACTGAGCGGCTGGTTGGCAGTTATAGCTGGACTCTTAACACCTTCAGTGCTTTCTGTAAGATTCCAAGACAAGAACGACGTGCCTGTTCCAACAGCAGAACAGTTTCTGCATACAGAAAAGCCACGCTATGTGCCTGGGCAAATTCTCAGCAGGTTTGTAAGAAAAATAAAAAATGGCCCCTAAGGGTCCATTTCTGCTACAGATTCCTCCTTCCACACTGTTCACTGAGCGTTGTGTCTATGCGAGTGGCAGGATTTTTTATTGCTGCTGCGAGCACAAATAGTCCTAAAGAGAATAGCACTTTAGCCCAGATGTTCGCCGATGGGATAACAGGGCTTCTTTTTGTCCACATCAACAGCAGAGAGTCGATGCACTTGCGTAGCCAGGATGGGGACCAGGACTACTGAACGATGGCTTGCAAGGCTGCCCAGCTGTTAGCCAACAGCTGCCTCTGGAGCTGCAGCCAGGGGAGTTCACGGGCAGCCCCTGCACTGGGCCGAGGCCATGACCACAGCCGGGCTCTGCGGTGCAGGGACTCGCTGGGTGATTTGAATCTCTGGCTGAAGCAACGGCTGAGGAGCTCGTCGTACGAAACCACTTGGGATTTGACTTTATACCCTACTCCATCCAGAAGTCTTCAGGAGCTGTTGACATTGCCTGACTATGGTGTGCTCTTCGACCTTTCCACCTTACTGTGATCCCTTCTCTCTGAGAAACGCCATCATTCAGCACTAACAAGGCTACCACATACAGCTTTTATGGGTTAGAAATGCAGCCATATTCCCATGTAGGTGCAATATATATTTTTTTCTGTGGTTTCTATGTTTACACTCCAGGAAAGCTGGCAGCAAAGTCAGCTGTAGGCTGTGAGCACACATAGTTCTGCATTTGTTGCTTTTATTCAAAATAATTTATGCACATTTTTCATATTTTATGCAAAATTTAAATTGGGTTAGGCTGATTCAGGAGGATGTTAGTGAAATAAAAGGGATGCCTGGTTTTGTGCTTGGTGAACTTTCTTTGGTAGTGGTTCAGTCCCTGCACAGCACATCACCAGTAGGTGCTGCACCAATTGCTCCCTATTCTCCCCAGTAACTTGCTCTTTTCCCTCTCCCATCCTGCTCCTGGGGTAATGTGGTTGTACCCTCAGGACTATCCGTGCAGTCCAGTCTCCCACCACCACGTTCATGTGTGACTGTATCACAAAAGATGCTGCGGATCGGTGTCGTCGCTGAAGCCGTTACCTACGGCGTTTCGCCCCCACAACACGCAGGCCTTCCACCCCTGCCAAGGAGCTGAGTCCAAGCTTGCTCAATATCACTGAAACATTGACACTTTTAAAAACAGCATAATGTTATACGAAATCTCAATGCTTATTTTGGGGAAAAATGGTTCCGTGTAATGTCATGATGCTCTTCGATTATTACGAGCGAAGCCCTTATATTAGTCAGCCCTGAGGAAAGACAACCAGCTCAATTCTATGTCCTAATCCTAATAACAGCTTGGCTTTCACTCTGGCTTTGGCATCCATCTGGGTTTTGTGCCTGGGCTCTGCTGTCTCACATCCACAACTCTAATTTTATTTAGATTTGTCTTCCCCCTCTGTCTGCCGGTGGTCTAAGTTCTTCGTACTACTTAAAGCATCCCATGTTATAAAAATTCCAAGACAATTCACTTACCAGCCCAGAAAACCCCTAGCCCACTTGGGACTTTCAGCCCTCAATCCATCATCCTCTCTCTGTAACACAGCCATTATTTTTAATAAGCACTATAGAAAGATACAGCAGCACCAATACCGGAGGGAAGAGGCAAGCATGCTGGTTACTACAAGTTAAGGATTACAGATTCCATGTGTGGCTGGGGAAGGAGGGTTGGTTTGATTGTTTTCTTGTACCCTGTATTTCTGGCTGTGCCTCAGCAGCGGAATGATGGTGTTAAACTAAATCATAAAGTGATGCTCAGCAACAAAATTCCTTCTCTGTACATGGTAAGGTAGCGTAGGTATTTTTCTCTCCCCTACTTAATCTTTTGCTACTGGTTTGCAGTTATACGCAAATCTTGCTACAGCTTTTGTGCATCGTCCCTTAGTAAAAACATTTATTCATCCCTGAACTAGACCCAGGTGTGCGACAGCGCTGCGTTGGGCCCCGTCCTCATCAGCAGAGAACTTTGTGCTGAATGCTTTGTACCTGGCCGATGCTTGCCACGGGTCTGATCGTGTCATGCGCGTTCTCTCGGGTGTGCTGCAGAGCTCCGATAAATGTAAACTGCTGCTGCAGGAAGAGCTTGTAGTTCTGCTCTATGTTTCTTAGAGCCTCCTTCACCTCATTCATTTTTCCCCCTCCTGGATTTTGGGAGAGAAGGAGAGAAAGGAAGCTACCTTTTGGAAATGATGCAATTCTATGTATGTAACTCTATCTTTCACCTGAGTTGGTACTGTGTAGGTTAGTGGGAAACTTTTTTAAAAGAAAATAGAAGACAAAAAGAGAAGATATATTGTGCCAAAGCTCTGCAGCCCCAGAGCCCCAGGCAGTAAGTCAATGAGGTAGTAATGATGCTGCGAAAAGAGGCAGAGAACCCAGCGGGGCCCACTGACAATCAGACGCCATAAACCCTAGTGGGTCTGTTGTAAACATAATGCGGCAATGCATCGCACACCGCGCTGCCAGAGGGCCGGGGGGAGCGATGGCTTCTCTTAGCCGGCGTAAAACTACCGCCCCAGCGGCTGAGAAACGCCAACATTAAACGAAGCCCGCTCGGCAGGCGGAGCCGGGGCCGCGGTTGACCCCCGTCCCTGCCCGCCCGGGGCGGTGCCCGCCGCGGGGGCTGGTTTTTCCCAGCGCTGACCTCGCGCTCCCGGTGAAGCCTTCC